CCTCTCTCTTGCTCCTGCTTTTGCCATGTGACCTGCTACCTTCCCTTTGCCTTCTGCCATGATTATAAGCTTCCTGAGGCCTCATCAGAAGCCAGGTAGGTACCTGGCACCATGCTTTCTTTATAAAGTACCCAGTCGCGGCCAGGCGCAGTGGCTTATGCCTGTAATCCCAGCACTTTGGGAGGCCAAGGTGGGCAGATCACAAGGTCAGGAATTTGAGACCAGCCTGGCCAATATGGTGAAACTGCATCTCTACAAAAAATACAAAAATTAGTCAGGCATGGTGGCACATGCCTGTAGTTCCAGCTATTTGGGAGGCTGAGGCAGAAGAATCTCTTGAACCTGGCTAATTTTTTTATTTTTAGTAGAGATGTGGTTTCACCATGTTGGCCAAGCTGGTCTTGAACTCCTGACCTCGTGATTCGCCTGCCTCGGCCTCCCAAAGTGCTGGGATTACAGGCATATATTTTTATTTTTTTTTGAGACAGAGTCTCACTCTGTCACCCAGACTGGAGTGCAGTGGCACGATCTCAGCTCACTGCAACTTCTACCTCCCAAGTTCAAGTGATTCTTCTGCGTCAGCCTCCTTAGTAGCTGGGATTACAGGCACCCGCTACAACGCCCAGCTAACTTTCGTATTTTTAGTAGAGACAGGGTTTCACCATGTTGGTCAGGCTGGTCTTGAACTCTTGACCTCAGGTGGTCCACCTGCCTCGGCCTCCCAAAGTGGTGGGATTGCAGATGTGAGCCACTGCGCCCAGCCTATTTATTTATTTTTTGAGACAGTGTCACTCTGTCATCCAGGCTGGAGTGCAGTGACGCAGTTTTGGCTCCTTGCAACCTCCACCTCGTGGGTTCAAGAAGTTCTTGTGCCTCAGCCTCCCAAGTAGCTGGAACTACAGGTGTGTGCCATGACGCCTGGCTAATTTTTATATTTTTACTAGAGACGAAATTTCACCATGTTGGCCAGGCTGGTCTTGAACTCCTGACCTCAGGTGATCCACCCGCCTCGGCCTCCCAAAATGCTGGGATTACGGGCATGAGCCACTGCATCTGGCCTGTTTTTAATTTTTAGAGACAGAGTCTCGCTTTGTCACCCTACTGGAGTGCAGTGGCACAGTCATAGCTTAATATACCTTAGTACACCTGGGCTCAAGTGATCCTCCAGCCTCAGCCTCCCAGGTAGCTAGGATTACAGGTGTGTGCCACCATGGCCAGCTAATTTTTAAAATTTATTTTTGGTAGAGAGAGGGTCTTGTTTTGTTGCCCACCCTGGCCTTGAACTCCTGGCTTCAAGCCATCATCTGTCCTTGGCCTCCCAAAGCACTAGGATTACTAGCATGGGCTACCAAGCCCAGCTGGTATCTGAGATTAATTATAATTTATTTCCTTTTTTCTGACTTTAAGATTTTTAGTTTCTTTTCCTGCTTTATTGCCAAACATTCCATTATAAATTTAATGTCTTTAAGATTCATGGTGCTTTCTCTCTCTCTTTCTGTCTCTCTCTTTTTTCTTATTCTTTTTTTCTCTTTTTTCTTGATTAGTGTTTCCAGAGGTCTTTATCAGTGTAGGTCCAATGGGAGAGAGAAGGCATATAACTATTTGAACAAAGAAAGTTTTATATAAAGAATTATAGGCTGAGCATAGTGGCTCACATCTGTAATACCAGCACTGTGGGAGGCTAAGGTGGGAGGATTGCCTGAACCCAGGAGTTCAAGACCCACCTGGGCAACATAGTGAGGCCCCACCTCTACAAAAATAAAAAATGAAGAGTTATAATAGGGGCTACTCTAAGGAGAACTCTAAAGAATATAGGAATACACCTGGGCACAGCGACTTATGCTTATAATCCCAGCACTTGGAGAGGCCGAGGTGGGAGGATAGGTTGAGTTCAGGAGTTTAAGACCATCCTGGGCAAAATGGCAAGACCCTGTCTCTACAAACAAAAATTAAAAAAATATATATTAGCTGGTGTGGTAGTGCATGCCTATAGTTCCAGCTACTCAGGAGGCAAGGCAGGAGGATGGGAGGATCCCTTGAGCCCAGGAGCTACAGGATGTAGTGTGCAGTGATCACTGCAGCCTGGACTGGAGTGTAGTGGCATGATCACTGCGCACTGCATCCTGTAGCTCCTGGGCTCCTTTGTCTCTTAAAAAAAAAAAAAAAGGAATAGCAGATATAAGGAACAGTCACAAACCCAGGGCCAAGATAGAGGGCACTAAGAAGACCCCTCTTCCTCAGGACTCAGATTCAGGCTTGTTGGAGGAGCCACAACTGCTGTGAATGGCAGAGGGGTTGCTATGGTGCCATATTAGCAAAACTTGCTGGAAATCTGCCCTTTGGACCTGGTTGGACATTTATCCTCTAGTATGCTGTCCTTTAGGGTGGTGGGGAAAGCTGTTCATGGAGAGGTGTTTCACCTGAGGCACAACTTTTTTGGGGGAGTTGGCAGGGCAAGCTGCTGGCCACTCCATGCTGCAGGAGGTGCTGCAGGGTTGGAGGACATCTCTTACAAAAGCATCCAAGGGGAGGGCTGATGGGGGAAGCTGCTGACTGCTTTCCAGTGCACTGCAAGACCCTGACTCTGGAAAGCTTCAGACATCACAGTGGCCTGCTCTGTGACAAGCAGGGGAACCAAGAAGCAAAACTCTTCTTACAAATGTCTCTCTAGCACCTTATGCTGAGAAAGCTTAACATCATGCCAGGTGGCAAAGGAAAAATATGTAAAGGACTCAAGTCAATTTTTATATTATTTTATTTATTATTTATTTTTAAATTAGAGATGGTGGTCTCACTATGTTGCCAAGTCTGGTCTCAAACTCCTGGCCTCAAGTGATCCTCCCGCCTCAACCCCTCAAAGTGCTGGGATTACAGACGTACACCACTGTGCCAGACCTGCTAGTCTATTTTAACAGCGAGGCAAAAAGAATGAATTTATAGGTCAGGAGCAATACATTTGTAACTGATACAATGTCTTTCAATTTTATTAAAATTTTTTACATGAACCAACTTTTTTCTCTATATATTGTGTTTGTTTTCTAATTTTGTTTATGCTCTTATGTTTATTTCCTTCCTTCTACTTTCATTGGTTTTAATTTGCTATTCTTTTTCTAGTTTCTTGAGATGGTTGCTTAGATCATTAATAAACAGCCGTTTCCCTCCCAATGTATGAATTTAAGTCTATACATTTCCCTCTATATTTGTGTCATATACAAGTTTTTTTTGTTTGGTTTGGTTTTTTTTTTTTTTGAGACGGAGTCTTGCTCTGTCGTCCAGGCTGGAGTGCAGTGGCATAGTTTCAGCTTACTGCAAGCTCTGCCTCCTGGGTTCACGCCGTTCTCCTGCCTCAACCTCCTGAGTAGCTAGGACTACAGGCGCCCACCACGCCCAGCTGATTTTTTGTATTTTTAGTAGAGGTGGGGTTTCACTGTGTTAGCCAGGATGGTCTTGATCTCCTGACCTTGTGATCTGCCCGCCTCAGCCTCCGAAAGTGCTGGGATTACAGGCGTGAGCCACTGCGCCCGGCCTCTTTCGTGCCTTCTTTAGAAATAATAAAATATTTTTGAGTATTCTGTTTTCTGTGTTAGCTTATTAGTTATGTATTTTAACTATTTTAGTATTTGTTTAGAGTAGGGCTTTTCACTGTTGGCAGTATTCAAACTTAGGCCTGTGATTATTTATTGTAGAGGGCTATCCTGTGCATGGTGGGATATTTAGTAGCATCTGTGGCTTTTACACCTAGATGCCAGTAGCACCTCACCCCAGTTGTGACAATCAAAAAATGTCTCCAGACATTTCTGAATGTCCTTTGGAGACAAAATCACCCTGGTTGAGAACCGCTGCCCTAGAGGTTATAATAGGCATTCTTGGCTTATTATAGTCTAATGTTAATGATAACTTTTACCAATTACTCAACAATGCCAGGGCCTTACTAACTCCATATTCTCTCTCCCACCTTTATACTTTGATTTTGTACACTAATTATTCATTTTGTTATGTACCCACATTCCATTATTCTTCATTTTCTATGTCTTTCAGAGCTCTTTACTTTCTGTGTGTATCTGTGTCTTAAATTTTCCTTCCATCTTTATTTTATATAAAGATAAGGGATTTTGATTCTATGATAAATCCAGGATGATCTCATTAGAGATCCTTAATTACATCTACAAAATTTATTTATTTATTTTTTCTTGAGATGGAGTCTTGCTCTTTCACCCAGGCTGGAGTGCAGTGGCGTGATCTTGGCTCATTGCAGCCCCAGTCTCCCAGATTCAAGCTATTCTCCTGCTTCAGCCACCTGAGTAGCTGGGATTACAGGTGTGCATCACCACACCCGGCTAATTTTTGTATTTTTAGTAGAGATAGGGTTTCACCATGTTGGCCAGGCTGGTCTCAAACTCCTGACCTCAAGTGATCCACCCACCTTTGCCTCCCAAAGTGCTAGGATTACAGGTATGAATCACTGTGCCTGGCCTAAAGCTTGTTTATAATCTTTTCACTAGACTCTGTTTTTATTCCATAGGTATTTAATAAATATTTGGAGAAGGAAGGAATGACAAAGAGACTCTGAGAGGTTTCTATCACTGAAGTATGTTTAGGACTTTTATATATATTCATATATTTATTGATTACTATGTCACAGGCATTCTATGGCAGACTTTTCATTATTTTTAATTAGGTACCAAGAGTATGGTCTTTTAATTTCCATTGGGTTTACGGTTTTTCTGTCTTTGAGTTTTTAATTTATATTTTCTGTTTTTATTGTTGTGATAGTGGTTCTGTTTTGTTTTACATATCAGCCCTTTGCCAGAAGCTGAACCTGAACCACTGAGGATGCAATTTTAGATGGAGCTAGTGTTAGTCTGACAGATTTGTACCTGAATGTTCACTTCGGTTACAGAGTTTAACTGTGTTTGCTATTAAAAGAATCTACTTAGGAACATTTTCTGAGATTTAGTACGCAGAAATAGTAATCATTGTGCTTTTCTGTTCTCTTTCAGCTTTCAGAAGAATTATTAGATAAATGGCTCTCCTACCCAGAGACCCAGCATGTGCCCCTCAGCCAGCATATGCTTGGTTTTGCTATGAAGTCTGTTACACAGATGGTAATGGGTAGTACATTTGAAAATGATCAGGAAGTCATTCGCTTCCAGAAGAATCATGGCACAGTAAGTCTGGGGCTAAATTTAAAATTATTCTTTCAGGCTGGGCGCCGTGGCTCACACCTGTAATCCCAGCACCTTGGGAGGCTGAAGTCAGGAGTTCAAGACCAGCCTGCCCAACATGGTGAAAACCTGTCCCTACTAAAAATACAAAAATCAGCTGGGTGTGGTGGTAAGACTCTGTCTCAAATAAAATAAATAAATAAATAAAATTATTATTTCATCATTAGCCAGGCATGGTGGCATGTGCCTGTTGTCCCAGCTACTGAGGCTGAGGCAGGAGGGATTACTTGAACCCAGGAGTTCAAGGCTAAAGAGAGCTATGATTGCAGTAGTGCACTCCAGCTTGGGAGACAAGAGTGAGACCTTGTCTCTAAAAAATGATAATAATAAATTAAGCAATTATTTCATCATACTGGGTAGTTTAATAATGCAGATTGTTGCCTATCAAGAACAAGGCTTGGCTGGGTACAGTGGCTCACACCTGTAATCCCAGCACTTTGGGAGGCCGAGGCAGGCAGATCACTTGAGGTCAAGAGTTTGAGACCAGCCTGGCCAACGTGGCAAAAGCCCATCTCTACTGAAAATTTAAAAAAAACTAGCCAGGCATGGTGGCTTGCACCTGTAATTCAGGCTACTTGGGAGGCTGAGGCACAAGAATTGCCTGAACCCGGGTGGCAGAGATTATAGTGAGCCAAGACCGCGCCACTGCACTTCAGCCCTGGGTGATGGATTGAGACTCTTGTCTCAAAAAAAAAAAAAAGAAAGATCTCGGCCAGGCATGGTGGCTCATGCCTGTAATCCCAGCACTTTGGGAGGCCGAGGCAGGTGAATCACAAGGTCAGCAGTTCAAGACCAGCCTGGCCAAGATGGTGAAACCCCATCTCTACTAAAAAATACAAAAATTTGCTGGGCATGGTGGCAGGAGCCTGTAATCCCAGCTACTCGGGAGGCTGAGGCAGAGAACCACCTGAACCCGGGAGGTGGAGGTTGCAGTGAGCTGAGATTGCACCACTGTACTCCAACCTGGGCGACAAAGCAAGAGTCCATCTCAAAAAAGAAAAACAAACAAAAAAAAAAGAGTGATCTCACCACTCTTTCCAGGATTTTCTTCTAGTTGCTGGTATCTATCCTGCATATTTTTATGCTGGTGTTTTTTTTCTTTCCTTTCTTTTCTTATAACCTCAAAATAGAAATAATTTCAAACTTCCAGAAAAGTTACAGTTAATACAAGGAACTCCCTCCCTCCCATATATCCTTTACCCAGGTTCAGCAGTTGTTTACATTTTGCCGCACATGCTTTTGTCATTCATCTTCTATCTATATCTATCTATCCATCTGTCTATCCATTCCTCCCACTTTCCTGAAACCATTTGAGAGTAAATTGAACATTTTGCCTGTTTTCCTCTAAATATTGCAGTTGATGTTTACTACGAGCAAGGATATTCTCTTATGTAGTGACAACATAGTTATCAAGTTTCTTTGGTTGTATCAATAATAATCTTGTAGATTCTCAGCCTCCTCCCCTCCAATTCTAGGACCCAATTCATGATCACTCAGTACTTTTAGATATCAGACCTCTTTAATCTGGAACAGTTCCTCAGCTTTTCTTCATTTCTAGACCTTTACATTTTTGGATAGTACAGGACAGTTATTTTGTAGACTATCCCTCAATTTGAGTTTGTCTGATATGTCATGAGTAGATTCAAAATATGTATTTTTGGCAAGAATTTGATGTTTTCTTAATATTAATAAAAGCTGTCAAAGGAAACTTTTCAGACTATAAACAGGACTTATTCTTCCTCAAATGATTTTTTTTCTTTTTTGTTTTCATATGTCCACAGCCTTGCCACCAGAGTGGGCTTTCAAAGATTTTTTTTATTTGTGTAAATTTATGAGTTTTATATATATAATTTTATTACATGCATAGATTGTGTAGTGTTAAAATCAGGGCTTTTAGTGTATCCATCACCCAAATAATGCACATCGTACCCATTAAGTGATTTCTTATCCTCCTGCCCACCCCTGAAATGATCTTTTAGTGTCTGAAATACCAAGGGATTGCCATTGTCCACTCATGCCACCAGGAATAATAACCAATTTGTGAATTCAGAGCCAATGACGACTGCATCATGACTGCTACTTGGATGAAAACAATTGGGAGATGTCATCAGTTGTAAGATGCATACTGATTTCACAGGTGGTTAAAATGTGAAAAAACATACATCCTTCCTTCAGTTGTATATTGTATGTCCTAACTGTCCCCCTGCAAATATTGTCCCAAGTATTTTTCCACCAATATTAATGTGCTCTTACTCTGTACTTTTGACAACATTTAGAATTGTTGGTCCTTAAATATTTGCCTTTCTAGGCCAGGTGCGGTGGCTTGTGCCTGTAGTCCCAGCACTTTGGGAAGCCAAAGCAAGAGGATTACTTTAGCCTAGAAGTTCAAGACCAGCCTGGGCAACACAGTGAGACCCCTGTCTCCAAATTTTTTTTTTTTTTAATTAGCGGAGTGTGGTGGCATGCGCACCTGTAGTCCCAGCTACTCAGGAGACTGAGGTGGGAAGATCACTTGAGCCCAGGAGGATCACACCACTGCACTGCAGCCTGGATGATAGAGTGAGACCCTGTCTCAAAAAGCAAAATTTTTGCCTATCCAATAAGCCAAAAATGACATTTTATGATTGAAATATATAGTTCTTTTTTTTTTTTTTTTTTTTTTTTTTTGAGACGGAGTTTTGCTCTTACTGTCCAGGCTGGAATGCAATGGTGCAATCTTGGCTCACTGCAACTTCCACCTCCTGGGTTAAAGCGATTCTCCTGCTTCAGCCTCCCCAGTAGCTGGGATTACTGGTGTCCACCACGATGCCCGGCTAATTTTTGTACCTTTAGTAGAGATGGCGTTTCACCATGTTGGCCAGCTGGTCTCGAACTCCTGACCTTAAGTGATCCACCTGCCTCAGCCTTCCAAAGTGCTGGGATTACAGGCGTGAGCCACTGCGCCCAGCCTGAAATGTATAATTCTTTTTTTTTTTTTTTTAAGATGAAGTCTTGCTCTTGTCACTCAGACTGGAGTGCAATGGCACAATCTCGGCTCACTGCAACCTCCAGCTCCTGGGTTCAAGTGATTCTCCTGCCTCAGCCTCCCGAGTAGCTGGGATTACAGGTGCCTGTCACCATGCCCGGGTAATTTTTATATATTTTAGTAGAGAACGGGGTTTCACCATCTTGGCCAGGCTGGTCTCGAACTCCTGACCTCAGGTGATCTGCCTGCCTCAGCCTCCCAAAGTGCTGGGATTACAGGCGTGAGCCTCCACGCCCGGCCTGTGTAATTATTTTATTACTCATGAGGTTAAACATCTTTTTTTTTTTTTTTGAGACAGAGTCTCGCTGTGTGGCCCAGACTAGAGTGCAATCTCGGCTCACTGCAAGCTCCACCTCCCAAGTTCACACCATTCTCCTGCCTCAGCCTCCCGAGTAGCTGGAACTACAGATGCCCGCCACCACACCTGGCTAATTTTTTTTGTATTTTTAGCAGAGACGGGGTTTAACCATGTTAGCCAGGATGGTCTCGATCTCCTGACCTCGTGATCCACCCGCTTTGGCCTCCCAAAGTGCTGGGATTACAGGTGTGAGCCACCGCGCCTGGCCAAGGTTAAACATCTTTTTGCCTGGGTGCAGTGGTTCACCCCTATAACCCTCGCACTTTGAGAAACCAGAGCAGGAGGATTACTTGAGCCCAGGAGTTTGAGACCAGCCTGGGCAACATGACAAAACCCCATCTTTGCCAAAAAAAAAAAAACACACACACAAAAATTTGCTGGGTGTGGTAGTACATTCTTGTAGTCCCAACTACTTGTGAGACTGAGGCCAGAGGATTGCTTGAGCCCAGGAGGTGGAGGTTGCAGTGAGCCATGATTGTGCCTAGGCACTCCAGCCTTGGAGATAGAGCCAGACCCTGTCTTAAAAACAAAAAACCCAAAATCTTATTTTTATACTTTTGTTAAACTCTTGGGTTCCTTTTGTGAGATTTTTTTAAATGTCCTCCACCTATATTTCTTCATTATTTTATTTACTTTTTTGTGACACAGTATCACCATGTTGCCCAGACTGGTCTCAAACTTTTGGGCTCAAGGGATCCTCTGACCTCAGCCTCCCAAATAGCTGGGATTTTAGGCCCACCTGGCTCTTTTGCCTAGATTTCTATTGATGTGTTTCATTTTCTTACTAATCTAGAACAGCTATTTATTTTTAATCTCAGTTTTCATTTCCTTTTACATTTATTTATAGTAAATAAAAGTTTTGTGATACTTTTTCAGTATCACAAATGCTAATGTTTTTATGTAGCTAAATCAATTTAACTCTTTCATTGTGAATTTGTGCCTTGTGTTCTGTCATGCTTAGAAACTGCTTTTGAGCTTTAAGCGTCTTATATAAATATTTACATTTTTATTCTTTTTTTTTTTTTTTTTTTTTTTAGGCTGCAGTGCCGCAGTCTCGGCCCACTGTAGCATCTACCTCCCAGACTCAAGCTATCCTTCCACCTCACCCTCCTGGGTAGCTGGGACCACAGATGCTCACCATCACGCCTGGCTAATTTTTTATATTTTTCATAGAGACAGGGTTTTACCATGTTCTCGAACTCCTTAGCCCAAGCAGTCTGCCTGCCTTGGCCTCCAAAGTGCTGGGATTATGGGTGTGAGCCACTCCACTTGGCCTACTATTCATTTTTACAGTAGTTTTAAGTTTGATTTTTTTACATTTAAGTAATCTGAAATGTTTTCATTTAAGGTAAGAATTGAGGGCTTTTTAAAATCTATTATTTTTCAAATAATAGTATTTAGCCATTGATGAATAAGTGTTGTGTTCTTTCCCTAATTTCTTTTAGAACTTTTGAATTAAAATCAAGTTAAAGTTTTTTCAGGGGCTAATGACCCAATTGTGAATATTTGGAAGCCTATTCTACTGCTTATCATATCCAAATCTCAGACTAAATTTTAACCTTTTTCTTTACCTCAGCCAGTGTTTATCAATATTACAGGTGAAACAGAAATTTGTAATTACCTGTGAATTTTATTTTTACACTTATGCCAGTATAATACAAAAATGAGGGCCAGGCATGGTGGCTCACACATGTAATCCCAGCACTTTGGGAGGCTGAGGCGGGCGCTCACCTGAGGTCAGGAGTTCAATACCAGTCTGGAAACCCCATCTCTACTAAAAAATACAAAAATTAGCTGGATGTGGTGGCAGGCACCTATAATCCCAGCTACTCAGGAGGCTGAGGCTGGGAGAATTGCTTGAACCAGGGAGGTGGAAGTTGCAGTGAGCCAAGATCACGCCACTGCACTCCAGCCTAGGCAACACAGCGAGACTCTGTCTCATGGGGGAAAAAAAAATGGGGATTGACTCAACTGCTGTGTCCTTTTTCTTCTCCCTACTCCTTTTAGAGGAAAGGAATTTTTCACTTTCCACTTCTTATTAGTTTGAAAGTGTCTTGACTGAAGTCATTAGAATATATTTGTACCCTCTCCTCTGAGACTGTGGAGTAAAGGATTGTGCAGCCAGTTGAGAAGGAGAGCTTAATTATCAGATTTGTTGGTGAGAAGAGTTCCTGCTGGGTAGGTGGCTCACACCTGTAATCCCAACACTTTGGGATACTGAGACGAGAAGATCACTTGAGCTCAGGAGTTCAAGACCAGCCTGGGAAACATGGTGAAACCCGTCTCTACAAAAAATAGAAAAATTAGCTGGCATTGGTGGCACACACCTGTAGTCCCAGCTACTTGGGAGGCTGAGGTGGGAGGATGGCTTGAGCCTCGGAAGTGGAGGTTGCAGTGAGCTATGATCATGCCATTGCAATCCAGCACTCTAGCCTGGGTGACAGAGCCAGAACACGACTCAAAAAAAAAAAAAAAAAAAAAGAGTTCCTAAGTTATTAGGTTACATTGCTCTATATTATAATTTTTACAATTCTACCTATTGGATAATAGATATGTATACTTACCTATTTTCAGGTTTGGTCTGAAATCGGAAAAGGCTTTCTAGATGGGTCACTTGATAAAAATACAACTCGGAAAAAACAATACGAAGATGGTAAGTTTGGTCACTCTTAATTTTTAGTGAGGACAAAAAATAAAGGTGCCCCAGTTTTAATAAAGTTATTTCTGAATAGTGAGATTAAAGGTCATTTATATTTTCTTTCTTTCCTTTTTTTTTTTTTTTTTTTTAGTCAGTGTCTCGCTCTGTTGCCAGGCTGGAGTGCAGTGGTGCTATCTTAGCTCACAGCAACCTCCGACTCCCAGGTTCAAGTGATTCTCCTGCCTCAGCCTCCTGAGTAGCTGGGACTACAGGTGCGTGCCACCACGCCCAGCTAATTTTTGTATTTTTATTAGAGACAGAGTTTCACCCTGTTAGCCAGGATGGTCTCAATCTCTTGACCTCGTGATCTGCCTGCCGTGGCCTCCCAAAGTACTGGGATTACAGGCATGAGCCACTGTGCCCGGCCTATATTTTCTTTCTTTATGCTTTTTTCCTACATTTTCTACAATGAAAGTTTTCTTTAACAGAAGCGAGGAAAAATAAGTTAGTAAAAGAAACTCTAGCACTGACTGCAGAATGAGAGTGCTGTAGAACTGGTATACTCTACGGGATTAAAGGAAAGTATAAGGCTACAATCTTAAGAAAGCAGTTTAATAATGCATACTAAGAACCATAAATAATGGATGAAATTATATGAAAGAAGAGAATATTCATGAAGATATTTTTGCAGTACTGTTTCTGCAAGTAGAAAACCAGGAACAAACTAAAGGTTCAACATTATAGGAATTAGTAGGGAAATGTCAACATGATTAAATATTACAGATACTTATTAAAAACGGCGGCCATGGTAGCACATGCCTGTGGTCCCAGCTACTTGGGAGGCTGAGATTTGAGGATCACTTCAGCTCAGGATTTTGAGACCAGCCTGGGCAATGTAGTGAGAGACCCCCATCTCAAAAAATTTTTAAAAATTAGCAACATAGGCCCCATGCGGTAGCTCACACCTGCAGTCCTAGCACTTTGGGAGGCTGAGGTAGGCAGATCACTTGAGGCCAGGAGTTCGAGACCAATCTGGCCACATAGTGAAACCCTGCCTCTACTAAAAAAATATTAGCCGGGTGAAGCAGCACACACCTGTAATCCCAGCTACTCAAGAGGCTGAGGAATGAGAATCACTTGAACCCTGGAGGCAGAAGTTGCAGTGAGCTAGATCATGCCACTGTACTCCCAACCTTGGTGAGAGAGTGAGACTCTATCTCAAAAAAAAAAAAAAAAAGTTTAGCAACCTAAAAAATTCTTGCTATTATAACATTGAATAAAAATATTTTCAGTGTTGTTTGGCATTGATTTCAATTTCAATTTTATACAATTTACACAGAAAAATAGCAATTTTAATGTAATATAGTGCCCCCAAATTAATTATTCTCCCTTTTTTTTTTTTTTTGTTCTGTATTCTCTCAGTGGTTGAATAATTATAAAGCTTTAATACTTTTTTTTAAATTAATGTTGGGTTTTTTTGGTTTTTTTTGTTTTTTTTTTTTTGAGACAGAGTCTCACTCTGTCACCCAGTCTGGAGTGCAGTGGTGCAAGACACAGGAGACAAAAATCCCTGTCCTCATTAGCTTACTGTTTTGGTGATTTTCTTGGTCTAACAGAAGTAAAAAAAGAAAAAAAACACCAGTTTAATTGACACATTTCCTGCTATCCAGTTTTTATGACCATTATGATTCTCTTGATCAATGCATTTGGATTAATTCCCTTTGATAAAAAATGTATTTCAGAAATATTGGTTAAATTAACATGAAATGAAAATAATGTATATTCTTTGATTCTAAATAAAAGTAAACTGTCTGGCATGATGTGTTCCTTGGGCTACAACATGGGCATAGATCAAATTTGAGCTTTTATTGGAAATGATTATGTTCTAGTATTTATAAAAATGGGATCCCATGACTGGATCAGAGCTTCCTTTGTTTAATTCCCAACCTGCTTTGCACATTAGAATCAGTTGGAGAACTTAAAGCACAAAACCTTATCCTAGACCAGTTTATTCAGAATCTGAGATTGGGGTGCCGTGGGCATCAGGTGTTTTTGAAAAGGCTCTCCAGATTATTCTAATGTACTTGTAGGGTTGAGAATGTACAACAGTGGTTCCCAAACTTTGCTACACATTAAATCTTTTTAAAAATATCGAAGCATGACTTCTACCTGTAAACATTCAGATTTAATTGATATGAGGTGTGACTTGTGCTTTACTGTTTGAAAAAACTTCTCAGGTGATTCTAATGTGTAGCAAAGTCTGGGAACAACTTCTTTATAGTGTTAATAATTTCTTATTTTAATTCTTTTTTTTTTTTTTTTTTGAGACTGAGTCTCGCTCTATCGCCCAGGCTGGGTGAGATCAACCTCCATCTCCCAGGTTCAAGCAATTCTCAGGCCTCAACCTCCCAAGTAGCTGGGATTACAGGCCCCTGCCACCATGCTCGGATAATTTTTGTATTTTTAAGAGAGACAGGGTTTCACCATGTTTTTCAGGCTGGTCTCGAACTCCTGACCTCAAGTGATCCTCCTACCTCGGCTTCCCAAAGCGTTGGGATTACCGGCGTGAGCCACTGTGCCTGGGAATAATTTATCATTTTAATCACTAATGTGTATTATATTGATTCAATTCTATAAATATTTAATGTAGATTTATGATATCCTGGCATGTTTTAGGTGCTGAGGAACCTAAACAAAATTTCTTGCCCTTGTGGCACCACATTCTAGTGGGAAGAGACAGACAGTAATCTAAATAAGTAAACTGAATAGTACATTAAAAGGTGAAAAATGCTGTAGAGGAAAATAAAACCAGAAGAGGATAGGGAGTGCGGGGGGTTGGGAGATTGCAATTTTAAGTAATTATTAGGAAAGGCCTCAAGATGAGGTGGCTTTTGGGGTAACACTTGCAAGAGATGAAACCAGTCATGCAGAACATGTGGATATCCAGATGTTCAAAGGAAGAATATTCTATGTAGAGGAAAAGTAATTACAGAGTCCTTGAAGTAGGACTTTTCCTGCTATATTTGAAGTACAACAGGAAGGCCAGTATGGCTGCAGTGAAGTGAGTGAGAAGAGGAGCAGAAGATGAAGTCAGAAAGACTGGAGACAGGAATGAGTTTTGTATGGCTTACAGACCATTGTGTGACGAGGTTGTTACTATGAGGTAGGAAGACACTGACAGGTTTTGAGCAGAGTTACAATCTGAGTTATGTTATAAAAGGATCACTTTGACTGGTATGATAGACTGTATGGGCCCAGAGCAAAAGCAGGGAAACTAGTTAGAGGGCTACAGCAATAAACCAGGCTTGAGAGATAATGTGGCTTGGACCAAGTGGCAGGCAACAGAAAATAGAGAACAAGGAAAAAAAAAGGAGTAAGAAAATAATTTGGTACTTTGAAGGTAGACCTACCAACATTGGCTGACAGATTAAAATTAGGGTATAAGGGAGAGAGAGACACCAAGGTTTTTGGCCTAATTGCAAAAGGAGGTTGTCAGGAAATAAGATGGGGAAGACTGTGGGAAGATCCAGGATTTGGGGGAAAGCTCAAGAGTTCAGTGTTTGGTATGCTTCAGACATCCAAGTGCAGAGGTTGAGTTTGTTATTAGAATTCGAAATATGAATCTGGAGCTGAAGAGAAAGAAGTCCTGACTAGAAATACAGATTTGGAAGTGTGTGGTACATATATTGCATCGAAAACCTTGAGATTAGAGATCACCAGGTAGTGAATATAGATAGAAAAAGGAAAGAGGTCCCAAAACTGAGCTCTGTCCTTGAACATTTCATTGCTGAGAAGTTCAAGAGATTAAAAAGGAATCAAAAAAGGAGACAGAATGAGTAGGCCGTAAAGTGGGAGGAAGTGTGGCGTCTAGGGGATATAGAGTCCTGGGAACCACATGAAACAATGTTTCTTGGCCGGGCGCGGTGACTCATGCCTGTAATCCCAGCACTTTGGGAGGCCAAGGCGGGCAGATCACGAGGTCAGGAGATGGAGACCACCCTGGCTAACACAGTGAAACCCCGTCTCTACTAAAAATACAAAAAATTAGCCGGGCGTGGTGGCACACGCCTGTAGTCCCAGTTACTCAGGAGGCTGAGGCAGGAGAATAGTTTGAATCTGGGAGGCGGAGGTTGCAGTAAGCTGAGATTGCGCCCGTGCACTCCAGCAAACACTCTGTCTCAAAAAAAAAAAAATGAAAAAGTGTTTCTTGGAGAGTACGTTATCAACATCATCAGTGATATGATAGGTCAAGTAAGGTGAAGACTGAAACGTATTTGTGTATAATTTTATGGGCCATTGGATATCAGTTATTGATATCTTTTAGGTTTTTTATTTTATATATTTATTTATTTAGAGATATATAAAATATTTATTTATTTATTCTCTTGCCCAGGCTGGAGTGAAGTGGCATGATCTTGGCTCACTGCGACTTCTGCTGCCCAGGTTCAAGCAATTCTCCTGCCTCAGCCTCCCAAGTAGCTGAGATTACAGGCGCCTGCCACTGAGCCCAGCTAATTTTTGTATTTTTAGTAGAGATGGGGTTTTGCCATCTTGGCCAGGCTGGTCTTGAACTCCTGACCTTGTGGTTCACGTGCCTCGGCCTCCCAAAGTGCTGGGATTATAGGCATGAGCCACAGTGCCCAGCCTCTTTTAGGTTTTTAGAAATTTACTTTTCTGATTATCTTTCATCTGCTTCTAGCCATAAATAAGTGATTCCTGATTTGGGAGAAGGAATGGAGTTAAGACAGAATTTAGAAGGAAGGTGGATGATATCAGGGAAGAAAGGCTTATGTGTTTGGAGGCCTCTAAAGTGCTGGTATTAGGCCGGGTGCGGTGGCTCATGCCTATAATCTCAGCACTTTCAGGCTGAGGCGGATAGATTGCTTGAGCCCAGGAGTTTGAGACTGGCCTGGCCAACATGGTGAAACCCCGTCTCTGACAAAAATACAAAAATTAGCTGGGCGTGGTAACATGCCTGTAGTCCCAGCTACTTAGGAGGCTGAGATGGGAGAATCACCTGAGCCTGGGAAGTCAAGGCTGCAGTAAGCCCAGATTACACCACTACACTGCAGCTTGGGCAACAGAGCAAGACTCTGTCTCAAAAATAAAAGAAAAAGTCAAGTGCTGGCCTTGCTCTACTTCTTGACCTGGGTGGTTGGTGGTGATTTATAATTATTCCTTAAACTGTACTTACATGCTTTGTGTACGTTTTTGTATGTATGTTAAATTTGGCAAAAAGAAGGAGGAAAATAGATGAGTTTAAACATAAATTAGCTTTCTTTGTTGTTGGTTTCTAACTTTGAAGTTTTTCTTCTCATGTAGTAACGTTGCACAGAATTATTTTTTTAAAGTTCAGTCTCCACTAATGCTTGTATTCTAAAATTATTTTGTTTTTTTCTCTAAGCCCTCGTGCAACTGGAGTCTGTTTTAAGGAACATCATAAAAGAACGAAAAGGAAGGAACTTCAGTCAACATATTTTCATCGACTCCTTAGTACAAGGAAACCTTAATGACCAACAGGTGATATAATTGTTAAATGTTTTTCAGGTAAAAAAAAAAAAAAAAAAAAAAAAAGCCAGAGCAAGGCACAATGTCTCATGATTGTAGTCCCAGCTACTCGAGAGGCTGAGGTGGGAGGATCACTTGAACCCAAGAGATCGAGGCCAACTTGGGCAATATAGCAAGACGCCATCTATAAAAAATAATGATAATAATCACACATATATACAGTGTACTTTTCATGCGCTTTAATCCAGATACCTTCCTAGAGTTCAGTGGCTTAAGAGAAGCATCATACATGTTTTTTAGGGTTTTTTGTTGTTGTTGTTGTTGTTGTTTTGAGATGGAGTCTTGCTATGTCGCCAGGCTGGAGTGTAGTGGCATGATCTCTGCTCACTGCAACTTCTACCTCCCGGGTTCAAGCGATTCTCCTGCCTCAGCTTCCCAAGTAGCTGGGACTACAGACACACACCACCACGCCCAGATAATTTTTTTATATTTGTAGTAGAGATGGGATTTCACCTTGTTGGCCAGGATGGTCTCTATCTCTTTCACATCGTGATCCGCCCGCCTTGGCCTCCCAAAGTGCTGGGATTACAGGCATGAGCCACTGCGCCCAGCCGCGTCGTACATCTTTTATTGTACATAATTGGTAGTACAAGTACTTGGCCTCTATTATTTAGCTCTTTGAGGCAGCTGTATAGTATTTAATATTATTAAATTGAGCCAAAATTCTTGAATTACAAAAGAGGAGAAGGACTTGTGTTAGGTGTATTAGACCAAATCACTTTGCCTGCTTGACCAGGTGTGGCAGTGTGGCTTGTTCACAATACTGCCAGCATACCACTGCATTTGTGGTATTGTCAGGCCAATGAGGTTAGTTGTTATTGCCACACCTCTTCATTGTAGGAATCTTCTGCCCCACTCTACACATGCAAGTCCTTGTAGCCAGAAGTAGTCTGGTGTATGTTGGTGCAGAAATTGAATTCGGCTTCTAGGACAGTGATGAGATCTTCTGTCCTATTTCTGAGGCTTCATTGCTGTTTACTAGGCTAAGCCAGAAAAATAGGACTGAGTTTATTTACCACAGTATATCATGAACTAGTAATATTCACAACAAATACCCTGATTTGATCATTAGATGTTGTATATGTGTACCGAAATATCACTTGTACTCTGAAAATACAACTGTAGTATATCGATTTTAAAAATATTTTTAAAAAGCAATGTGGTATTTAGGTTGTATTCACATTATACAGATTTTGGTTTTTTGTTTTAATGAAAACATCATAATGAAATAATATACTTTTTTTCATTGACACTAATTTTATGCTGTAGGCTTCCAGGACAGTGATGAGATCTTCTGTCCTATTTCTGAGGCTTCATTGCTGTTTACTAGGCTAAGCCAGAAAAATAGGACTGAGTTTATTTACCAAAGTATATCATGAACCAGTAATATTCACAACAAATACCCTGATTTGATCATTACATGTTGTATACGTGTACCAAAATATCACTTGTACTCTGAAAATACATACAACTATAGTATATCAATTTAAAAAATATTTTTAAAAAGCAATGTGGTATTTAGGTTGGTATTCACATTATACAGATTTTGGTTTTTTGTTTTAATGAAAACATCATAATGAAATAATACACTTTTTTTTCATTGACACTAATTTTATGCTGTAGGCTTCCAGGACAGTGATGAGATCTGTCCTATTTCTGAGGCTTCATTGCTGTTTACTAGGCTAAGCCAGAAAAATAGGACTGAGTTTATTTACCAAAGTATATCATGAACCAGTAATATTCACAACAAATACCCTGATTTGATCATTACATGTTGTATACATGTACCAAAATATCACTTGTACTCTGAAAATACATACAACTATAGTATATCAATTTTAAAAATGTTTTTAAAAAGCAATGTGGTAATTAGGTTGGTATTCACATTATACAGATTTTGGTTTTTTGTTTTAATGAAAACATCATAATGACATAATATACTTTTTTTTTCATTGACACTAATTTTATACTGTGGATTATTTTAGCAGGGCCTAATATAGGCTACCTTACATTTTTCACACTTTCTAAACTTAGCTTTGTTTCCTAGATCCTAGAAGACAGTATGATATTTTCTCTGGCCAGTTGCATAATAACTGCAAAATGTAAGTATAAATTGATTTCTTTTTCAGATGAATTACTAAAATACAAGCTGAGCACAGTGGCTCACACCTGTAATCCCAACACTTTGGGAGGCTGAGGTGAAAGATTGCTTTAGGCCAGGAGTTGGAGGCCAGCCCAGAAAAGAGAGACCCTCTCTCTACAAAAAAAATAAGTTAACTGAGCATGATGGCCCATGCCTGCTACTCAAGAGGCTGAATCATGAGGATGGAGGCGACAGTGAACTGATTGTGCACTCCAGCCTGAACAACAGAGTGAGACCCTGTCTCAAAAAAAACAAACAAGGCCAGGCATGGCAACTCACACCTGTAATCCCAACACTTTGGGAGGCCAGGATAAGAGGATCACTTCAGCCCAGGAGTTCGAGACTAGTCTGGGCAACATAGTGAGACCTCGTCTCTGCTAAAAATAACCGTTAGCTGGGTGTGGTGGCACATGCCTGTGGTTCCAGCCACTCGGGAAGCTGAGGCAGGATGATCACTTGAGCCCAAGAGGTTGAAGCTGCAGTGAGTGATGATCGCACTATTGCATTCCAGCCTGGGCAACAGAGCAAGACTGTCTCAAAACAAAAATAAAACACTGTTTAGAGGACTTCTTTAAAATTTTTCCCTCTTTTTCAGTCTTGTTTTAAAGGGCTGACTCACATAGGTGCTTTTTTTCTTAACCCCAAGTGCTTAAAGTCACCTCTGAAAATTGCCATAAATTTCTTGACACATTTTATGGATTGTGAATTCTAGTTAGTGCCTTTAAAATGAAAACTGCTGTTGACACCTTTCCAACCAGAACAGTGAGCTTTTCATTTCCTGCTGCTGCTTTCCACTTTGACTCCAAGCTAGTCTGCTATTATTAAGGTCTACCAACAAGAGTATATAGGCCACAGAAATCACGATTTAAAAGAACTCCTCTCATTGGAATTGAAGGTGATTTCTATGTAAAATTGTAAAATATTTGATATGTTTCTAAGTTTCCTCACTTGGTTTTTAGATTGGTAGAGTACCATTTATACAATATTTATAAAAATACTTCTGTAGGCATAAAAATATACTAAGATAAAAATACTTAAAGAAAGTATTAGGGGGCCAGGCAAGGTGGCTCACAGCCATAATGCCAGCACTCTGGGAGGCCGAGGTGGATGAATCACTGGAGCCCAGAAATTTGGGACCAGCCTGGGCAACACAGCGGAACCCTATCTCTATAAAAAATTCAAAAATTAGCCAGGCCTGGTGGCACACACCTGTAATCCCAGTTATGTAAGGAAGGCTAAGGTGGGAGGATCACTTAAGCCCAGGAGGTTGAGGTTGCAGTGAGCCGTGATCACACCACTGGACTGCAGCCTGGGTGACAGAGTGAGACCCTGTCAAAAAACAAAAGGAGGCCAGGCATGGTGACTCATGCCTGTAATCCCAGAACTTTGAGAGGCTGAGGTGGGCGGATCACAAGATCAGGAGTTCGAGACCAGCCTGACCAACATGTTGAAACCCCATCTCTACTAAAAATACAAAAAGGAGCCGGGTATGGTGGCATGTGCCTGTAATCTCAGCTACTCAGGAGGCTGAGGCAAGAGAATCACTTGAACCCTGGAGGCAGAGGTTGCAATGAGCTGAGATCACACCACTGCACTCCAGCCTGGGTGACAGAGCTATGCTCTGTCTCAAAAAAAAAAAAAAACCAAAAAACAAAAGGAAGTATTAGGACATGAATTTAAATTTTAGAAAATTTATGTTCACTTGAAGGATTTCATTTATATCCCTTAATGTTTAAGGAAACTTTCTTTAAAATGATACAAATATAAACTTCCCATAAAGTTTTCTTCTTTGGCATACAGAAATGTCCAGATACTATAGATGATTAAATTGAATTTAGGTAAGCATATGTCAAAAATAATGTATTCAACCTTTTTCTTTTTTTTTTTTTGAGACAGAGTTTCACTCTTGTCACCCAGGCTGGAGTGCAATTGCGCTATCTCAGGTCACTGCAACCTCCACCTCTTCGATTCAATAGATTCTCCTGCCTTAGCCCCCTGAGTAGGTGGGATTACAGGCGCCCACGACTATGCTTGGCTAATTTTCATATTTTAAGTAGAGACCATGTTGGCCAAGCTGGTCTTGAACTGACCTCAGGTGCTCCGCCCGTCTCAGCCTCCCAGGGTGTTAGGATTACAGGCGTGAGCCACCACATTCTGACTTATTCAACCTTTTTAAAAAAATGCCTACTTGTTTGGTCCAGTGGTGCACATTTGTCCCAGCTACGTTGGAGGCTGAGGTGGTAGGATTGTGTGAGCCCCAGGAGTTCGCCTAACTTGGGCAATAAAACAAGACCCCAGCTTAAAAAAAATTAATATAAAGATAGATTTAAAATCCTTGTTTTTAAAACGTATTACATTAAAAATAAATACGTCTTTGCTAAAGACCTTTAAAAATCTAAATCACTTGTGCTCTGGACACCAAGAAAAGTGACTATTTCCAAGGTTGAATTAATATGTTAATCTTATTTTCAGTTTTTAGGGAGATTTTAGGAGAATTGCTATGTATTTGGATGTAGGTTGGTGGTTTTTTAAGGCTCCTCTGAAGTTTTTGAGAGTAGATAAACAAGAAACCTTAATAAGTTCTTACTCCTTACTCTGCCCCTTATTAGCCTTGGGCAAGATTCTTATCGCTCCATTTTCCTCCTTTTCTAAAATACGAGTTTAGCTCCAGATGACCTCCAAGTTATCTCTGAGCTATGAAATTGTGTCTGATTCAGTATTGCATTTAAAGCACATTAAGTGGCTTAAAATCACATTTTAAAGCTATTTTCAGCCATCGTTGTGACAGGCTGGGCAACGTAGTGGGACTTGATCTCTACCAAAAAAAAAAAATTGTAATTAGCTGTGCGTGGTGGCATGTTCCTGTAGTCCCAGCTACTTGGGAAGCTTGAGGTGGGATCACTTTAGCCAGGAGATCAAGGCCTCAAGTGAGCCGCGATCACTGCCACTGCACTCCAGCCTAGGTGACAGAGTGTGACCCTATCTAAAAAAAAAAAACCCCACAAACCAAAAGTCAATGTGAGATTTTTTTTTTTTTTTTTGAGGCGGAGTCTCGCTCTGTAGCCCAGGCTAGAATGCAGTGGTGTAATCTCGGCTCACTGCAACATCTGCCTCCCAGGTTCAAGCGATTCTCCTGCCTCAGCCTCCCAAGTAGCTGGGACTATAGGTGCCCACCACCACACCCAGCTAATTTTTTGTATTTTTAGTAGAGATGGGGTTTCACCATGTTGGCCAGGATGGTCTCGTTCTCTTGACCTCATGATCTGCCCGCCTCGGCCTCCCAAAATGCTGGGATTACAGGCATCAGCCACCGCACCTGGCCTGTTATATTAATTTTAAGTGATAATATAGTCAAGCAGAGTACATGAATGACCACTGTATGCAAATCGTTGTGGTGAATCCTTCAGTTGTATATTACTCTATGTTGTAAAATTGTGTGACACACATATTGTACACTGCACAAGTTTTCACATCACTTGTAAAATAGAAATTCTATAGTTCGAGGCCGGGCGCGGTGGCTCCAGCCTGTAATCCCAGCACTTTGGGAGGCTGAAACGGGCAGATCCACGAGGTCAGGAGATCGAGACCATCCTGGCTAACACGGTGAAGCCCCGTCTCTACTAAAAATACAAAAAATTAGCCGGGCATGGTGGCGGGCGCCTGTAGTCCCAGCTACTTGGGAGGCTGAGGCAGGAGAATGGCCTGAACCTGGGAGGCGGAGCTTGCAGTGAGCTGAGATCCGGCCACTGCATTCCAGCCTGGGCGACAGAGCGAGACTCCGTCTCAAAAAAAAAAAAAAAAAAAAAGAAATTCTATAGCTCACTCAGAAGCCGTAATGATGAAGAGGCATATGTAGGGAAAAGTTAAGGACAGGCAGTCACTCATGTTTTTTGTGAACTCTAGATATAAAAAAACTAATCAGAGTAATTGAGTACCAGGTAACTACTGATTTTAATGATAACAATATGGGTAATAAGGTGTATCAGGAAAACTTTTTTTATAAATTAACTTTGAGATTAAGTTAACCCTTAGTTCAGGAAAGAGATCATTGGTAAGTGAAGTACAAGTTACTAGAAGGATATTAAGAAGTATTTGACACAGGAACAATAGAGCTACAGATGGTGTCACCTCAAACATATTCTAGGGAAAGAGGTAGTATATATGTTCAGAAGGTTCCATTCTTTTAATAGTTATAATCCCAGTGTATTACTACAGAAATTATAATTACTCTTTTTCCTCTGTTTTTTTTTCTCAACATGTAATTTCTTTACATTTTCATTTCTTCTGGTTTTTTCTCAACATGTAATTTCTTTACATTTTCATTTCCTCAATGAATATAATCCATAAACCAGTTTAAGCTAAAGTAAGCCATGAGCCATTCATCTTCCCATTTGTTAATTGAGATAAATGTGATATTCTATTTGTTAAAAGTACAGATGTTTGGACATTACCATAAACCTACTGAACCAGAATTTGTGAATGTGAGGTTATAGCATCAGCCATCTCCCAGGTGGTTTTTGAGAACCACTGTTTTGTTGTTGTTGTTGTTTGTTTGTTTGTTTGAGACAGGGTCTCACTTGGTTTCCCAGGGTGAAGTGCAGTGGCATGATCACAGCTCACTGCAGCCTCAACCCCCTGGGCTCCAGCAATCATCCCATCTCAGCCTCCCAAGTAGCTGGGACTACAGTCACACACCACCACACCCAGCTGATTTTTGAGTTTTTTGTAGAGATGGGGTTTTGCCATGTTGCCCAGACTAGTCTTGAACTCCTGAGCCCAAGCAATCCCCCAGCTTCAGATCCCCCCCCAAAGTGATCCCCTCTGCGCAATCCCTCCCAAAGTGCTGGGATTACAGGTGTGAGCCACCATGTCTGGTTGAGAACTATTCTAAGCAATAACCAGTCACAAATTTTGAGCCAGTGTATTTACCATCACAGGTAAATATGTTAGAATATTGATTTATTGATAAATCTGCTAGCTTGATTTGTCTGAATCATTTCATTAGTGCTCCTAAGTGAACTGATAAATCAACTTAATAAGGTTGAGTGCATCCGATAATCAATTGCAATAACCAACATTGAGCACTCCTACAGATATGAAATTTATTTATTATCATAACTATTTTACCTAAGGTAAAATTAATTGGCTCCGGTTACTTACCAGTTTTAAGAAAGAAGGCATCCAGATTGCACTATGTCTGTTGGAGGGCAATCCGTAAATATTGATGTTCCATTCAGTGAAATACAAACCCTGTGAATAATTTTACTTTTTGGTACCACTTATGTTATCTTCTGTATCATAGGAGAAAAAAAGCAAATATAAAAACACCACTCTAAATAATTAGTTTTTTTCTTATTCTATACCCAAGCCATGAGTTAGCGATTTTCATTGTTATTCATATAATGTTTCACCTAGTGTGTACCTGGGCAATCTGTTTTTTAACCACCTCTGAAGAAGTTCAAAAAAAATTATATGAAGAGATAAACCAAGTTTTTGGAAATGGTCCTATTACTCCAGAGAAAATTGAGCAGCTCAGGTAAGGACACAATAAAAAGAGGAGATTATTAAAAGGTAAATTTGAACTGGTTTATCTAATTTAAAGCTATTGTTGCTATTTAGGAAAGCTGTATATTTTTATAGGACTTCAAGTATTTATACGTAGATTTTATTAGGTAAATGAATCTGCTTTTTAAAATCATAAGGTTGTGTGGGAAATGTTTAACTTAGCCTGTTAAATAGTACTAGTGAAGTCAAGCAAGTATGACACTCATACTTTGTTGATGGTAATAAAAAACAGTACAGCAACATTAGATAATAATTTAGTAGGCTTGACCAGATGTGGTGGCTTACACCTGTAATCCCAGCACTTTGGGAGGCCAAGGCAGGCGGATCACTTAAGCCCAGTAGTTCAAGACCAGCTTGGGCAACACGGCAAAAACCCATCTGTACTAAAAATACAAAATATCAGCCAGGTGTGCTGGGACACGCCTGTAGTCCAAGCTACTCAAGAGGCTTAGGTGGGAGGATCGCCTGAGCTCAGGAGGTTGAGGCTACAGTGATTGCATCACTGCACTCCAGCCTGGGTTACAGAGCGAGACCCTGTCTCAAAAGAAAAGAAAACAATAGAAAACAATATAGTAGGCTCTTAAAAAGTTCAACATACACTTATATGACCCAGCAATTCCACTCTTTGGAATTTCATTCCAAGATAAATGAAAACATGACTACACAAAGACCTGTTTGCATATATTCATAGCAGTATTATTCAAAATAGCCCAAAATTGGAAGTAGTTCAAATGTTCAACTGGTAAATAGATAAACAAATTGTGGTATTACCATACCATAGAATACTACCAAGTAATAAAAAGGAACACCATATTAATACACACAACAACACAGATAAATCTTAGTGATTTAAGTGAAAGAGTGAAACATAAAATACGGCTACTGTATGATTTCATTTGTGTGAAATTCTAGAAAAGGCAAATTATGGTAATAAAAAGCATTCTGTTGGGGGTTAGGAATGGGGACAGGATCAACTACAAAGGGGCATGAAGAAAATGAAACTGTCGGCCGGGCGCAGTGGCTCACGCTTATAATCCCAGCACTTTGGGAGGCCGAGGAGGATGGATCACGAGTCAGATCGAGACCATCCTGGCTAACATGGTGGAACCCCGTCTCTACTAAAAATACAAAACATTAGCCGGGCACAGTGGCAGGCGCCTATAGTCCCAGCTACTCAGGAGGCTGAGGCCGAAGAATGGCGTGAACCCAGGAGGCGGAGCTTGCAGTGAGCCGAGATCGCGCCACTGCACTGCAGCCTGGGCGAAAGAGCGAGACTACTTCTCAAAAAAAAAAAAAAAGAAAAGAAAGAAAATGAAACTGTCTTATATATTACTTGTGATTGTAGTTACACAATTGTATACAATTACTAAAATTCAAACTGTACAGGTAAAATGGGTTAATTTTATTGCATATAACCATACCTTAATTAATTTTTGTTTTAAATTGCAACTGTGACTGCTTTGGGGTTAGAAGTCTGAGACTGGGTAGCAAGCAACCCTACCTTGGAGCATAAAATCAACTATAGAGAAGATAGAGTGGCTGGGCACAGTGGCCCACACCTGTAATCCTACCAATTTGGGAGGCGAAGGTGAGAGGCTCACCAGAGCCCGAGAGTGCAAGACTAGCCAGAGCAACCTGGCAAAACCTCATCTCTAAAAAAAAAAGATACAAAAAATTAGCTAGGGATGGTGGTGCATGCCTATAGTCCCAGCTACTCAGGAGGCTGATATAGGAGAATCACCTGAGCCCAGGAAGTCCAGGCTGCAGTGAGCCATGATCACACCACTACACTCCATCCTGGTAACAGTGAGACCCTCTCTCAAAAAAAGAAAACAAGATAACCACTGGAAAGAACTGGGAGGCTTTTAAATGTTGGAAGTTTTATTTATTACATTGAATGTAACTACTTTTTTAAAAGTAATACTAGTTGACTTTTGAAGTTTTTATCATATAGAAGTGTATGAAGTCGAAGGTGAAGTTCCTTTGTAAATGTGTGCCCGTAAGCCGGTAACAATTGGGCTGGGTGCAGTGACTCATGCTTATAATCCCAGCAATTTGGGAGGCTGAGGCTGGAGGATTGCTTGAGCCCAGGAGTTTGAGACCATTCAGGGCAACATAGAGGGAGCCTGTCTCTACAAAATGTTTAAAAATTAGACAGACATAAAGGTATGTACCTGTGGTTACAACTACTAGGGAGGCTGAGGTGGGAGGATCGCTTGAGCTTCGGAGCTTGAGGCTGCAGCATGATAGAGTGTCACTGCACTCCAGTCTGGGCAACAGAGCAAGAACCTGTCTCTTAAAAATAAATAAGGAAATAAATAATTTTTTAAAGTTTAAACTCTCTAATATAGCTCACGAAGCATTTCAAAAGCTGGGCCTTGTGTACTCACCTTATCCTCACTTGTGCCTCTTCATAGCTTTCAGTTTAGCTCTACTCAAAGTCTTTTGTTTCTTACCTCCTGTCCTGGCTTTTGCACAAACTGTTCCTCTGTATAGATTCTCTTTTTGTCTCTCCTTTAGTTAAGTCCAGGTGTTGGGTTTTGGTTTTGCGGTGGGGTTTTTTTTTTTATTGTGGGTGGTTTGAGTGGTTTTTTTTCTTTTTTATGTTGTTGTTTTGCAGATTTCAGCCTGTGTTTATTTCTCTCTTTCTCTCTCTCTCCTTTTTTTTTTTTTTTTTTTTTGAGATGCAGTGTCTCTCTGTCACCCAGGCAGGTTTGCAGTGGCGCAATTTTAGCTCACTGCACCCTCCACCTCCTGGGTTGAAACGATTCTCGTGCCGCAGCCTTCCAAGTAGTTGGAATTACAGGCGTGCACTACCACACCTAGCTAATTTTTGTATTTTTAGTAGACACGGGGTTTTACCATGTTGGCCAGGCTAGTCTCGAACTCCTGGCCTCGAGTGATCCACCCGCCTCTGGCTCCCAAAATGCTGGGATTACAGACGTAAGCCACTGCTCCCGGCCCGGCCTGTGTTTATTTCTCTACGAAACCCTTTACCTAGAGTAGCTGTTCCTGCCTTATATTCCAGTAATACCCTGAACTTCCTTTGTCATAACATGCGCTATGCTTGTTTAATTGTTCATCCTTTATGTCCTATCCACTCTGCCTCCCCACTGCCAACTAGAATCTGAACCCCTTTGATGGTGTATCTCTTGTTTATTGTTGTAGCTCAGTATCTAGCACGGTGCTTCACATGTAGCAGGTATGCAATAAATATTTGTACAGAAGAGAGGAAGGAAGAATGTTTCCCGTTTTGATTTTGTTGTTTTTGATGTTACAAACAATTAACACTTCTGTGCTTACATCTTTGCTAATATTTTCAAATATTTCTGTATAATAAGGTCCTAGAAGTGAGCTTCTAGTTGAAGGATGTATGCAGTAGGTCAGTGGTTAAGATTTGAATCCTGTCAACACAACTTACCTGCTATGTGATCTTAAATAACTGCCTCTGATTTTAATCTGTAAAATTAGAATAATAATAGCACCCATGGGTTTCTTGTAAGGATTCGATAAGATCCTGTATATAAAGTATTTAAGTGAACTAACTCATAGCAAAATTGGAATACATTTTAGTTTTTATTCTTCTCATTGTGATGTACACTTGAGGTGTACCACTTTATACTTCCACCAATTGGATATGAGAATGTCTTTTTCTCCATCTTTTTCTAGTAATATCTGCTGTCATTCTTTTTCATCTTTGTCAATCTGGCAAGTTAAAAAAAAAAAAAACACGCTATGATTGGCAGTCTTTAAGTTGTTAATTAAGTTGAGTATCATTTCATGTCTTCAGGCCATTTGTATGTTTTTGTGAATTTTTGTATTCTCTGTCCCTGTTTCTATGGGGTTGTTGGATTTTTTAATTACTTTTAAAGAGGTTTTATACATTAAGGATATCTTTACTGAAAATATTTTTCCTAGTTATCTTTAGAAATATGTAAACAAAATGTTTCTCTAGTTAGGTTATTTGTATTATTCTTTATAATTTTCTGTCAGCTTCATGCTAAAAATAAACTTTAAAAAAATTATAGAAACATTTTGAGTTTTCTTCTGGTACTTTTAAAAGTGTTTTTATTTGTTGAAATCTTTATCTACCTAGAGTTATATGCAGATTAATAACAAATCTTATAAAAATGTATTTATTTTAAAATTTATAAAAATTTTAATAAGTTTTTATATACTTCTAATATATAACATATCTTTAAGCAGATAAGAATTATGATGGGACTATTTCAAGTTAGGAATGTTTGAGCAGTTGTTGAAGAACGTTTTTTAAATGTATGTACATTTCTAACTGCCTCCTAAAATAAACATCTTCAAAAAAATTTTTTTTAAAACAGATATTGTCAGCATGTGCTTTGTGAAACTGTTCGAACTGCCAAACTGACTCCAGTTTCTGCCCAGCTTCAAGATATTGAAGGAAAAATTGACCAATTTATTATTCCTAGAGAGGTAGAAAATATTTAATATGTTTAATTCATTCAACTATTCTCAACTCTTTTGGTGTGTGTGTGTATATATATATATTTTAGATGGAGTTTCGCTCTTGTCACCCAGGCTGGAGTGCAATGGTGCAATCTTGGCTCACTGCAACCTCCACCTCCCAGGTTCAAGGGATTCTCCTGTCTCAGCCTCCCTAGTAGTGGGGATTACAGGTGCCCGCACCATGCCCAGCTAATTTTTGTATTTTTAGTAGAGATGGGGTTTGGCATGTTGGCCAAGCTGGTCTTGAACTCCTGACCTCAGGTGATCTGCCAACCTTGGCCTCCCACAGTGCTGGGATTATATGCATGAGCCACTGCACCCCGCGTGGTGTGTATTTTAAATTTGTTTAAAGTGGCAAATAAATGCTACCCATTATTAAATAAAAGACACAATTATTTTAGTTACAAAATAATATGTGCTTGTTTTAAAGTTCAAACCACATAAAAGTCTTTCTTCCCAAAAGGTACTACTGTTAGCAGTTTAGTATGTATTTCTATAGACCTATTTCTGTGTATATGTTTATAGAAACACACATATACATATGTATTAAACAGAATTTATATGTGAAAAGTTACTCTTCCTATAATATTCTTTAATTTTCTTCTTAATTGAGTGTATTATGGCTATTAGTACACCTAGCACTTGATATAGATTCGACTCATTATTAATGGCTGCATAATATTCCATAGTGTGACTGTACCATAATTTATGTTTTAATTTGATTTTTTGAGACAGAATATCACTGTGTCACCCAGCCTGGAGTGCAGTGGTGCAATCTTGGCTCACTGCAACCTCCGCCTCCCGAGTTCAAGTGATTCTCCTGCCTCAGCCTCCTGCGTAGCTGGGATTACAGGCTTGTACTACAAGGCCTGGCTAATTTTTGTATTTTTAGTAGAGATGGGGTTTCACCATGTTGGCCAGGCTGGTCTCAAACTCCTGGCCTCAAGTGATCCACCCGCCTCCACCTCTCAACGTGCTGGGATAGCAGGCATGAGCCACCATGCCCGTCCAGCATGATTTATTTAAGCAGCCCCCGCTAATGGAAATTATGATTGACATTTTTTTTTTATTATATACTGGTACAGGTGTTGAGTAGTCTTAGACATGGAGTTTTTGTGTGAAAGTCCATGTGTATGTTCAGTTATTATTATTTTTAGACAGGGTCTTGCTCTTTTACCTAGGCTGGAGTACAGTGGTGCTATTGCAGCCTCGACCTTCGAGGCTTAAGTGATCCTCCCACCTCAGCTTCCCAAGTAGCTGGACTAAATTTTTTTTGTTTTTTATAAAGACGGAGTCTCACTATGTTGCCCAGGCTGATATCGAACTCCTAGGCTCAAGTGATCCTCCTGCCTCCGCCTCCCAAAGTGGTGAGATTATAGGCATTAGCCGCTATACTGGGCCATGTGTATGTTAATTTTAAAATGTTCTCTGAAAGCCATTTTATACTTTTAGCAACAATGTATGAGAATGTTTTTTCTTTCCAAATCCTCACCACCTCTGAATTTGAGTCTTATGTATATTTTATGAATCTTGCTTTTCTCTGATCATTGGAGAAATCGAACAAATTTTCATACATATATTAACAGTTTGTATTTTTCTTTTGTGAATTCTGGTCTTTATAACTTTCATTGATTTTTCTAGTGAGCTTATATATATTTTTGTATACTATACAAACTGTCAGTTATATAGCAAATAACTTACTGTTGCTTACATTCTTTTTTTATTGTTTTTTAACTGGATGTAGATTTTAAATTTTCATATAGTTAAGTCTGTTATTCCTTTATGGTTTCTAGATTTTGTGACATGCTTAGGGAGGCCTTCCTCATTGTAAGATTACCAAAATAATCACTTGTGGTTTCTTCCATTATTATTATTTTTAATTTTATTTATTTATTTATTTTTTGAGATGGAGTCTCACTCTGTCTCCCAGGCTGGAGTACAGTGGCACAATCTGGGCTCACTGCAAGCTCTGCCTCCCAGGTTCACACCATTCCCCTGCCTCAGCCTCCCGAGTAGTAGCTGGGACTGCAGGTGCCCACCACCACGCCTGGCTACTTTTTTGTATTTTTAGCAGAGATGGGGTTTCACCGTGTGAGCCAGGATGGTCTCGATCTCCTGACCTCGTGATCCGCCCGCCTCAGCCTCACAAAGTGCTGGGATTACAGGTGTGAGCCACCGCACCCGGCCGATTTCTTCCATTATTTTAAATTATTATTTCGTATTCACTATCTATATTAAAAGAAGTTTGGAATAAGTTGACTTTCTAGGAGTCATTTTACCTCTGTTAGTCCTTGACTAATTGGATTTTTTTTTTCACAGACCCTCGTCCTTTATGCCCTTGGTGTGGTACTTCGGGATCCTAATACTTGGCCATCTCCACACAAGTATGAAATATTTGTCATTGTCTTTGTGACTGTCAGTTTTTGGGTTTGCACGTTTTGCATTCCTTTCCTAAGTTTTGAGGAGAAAATTCAGTATGTAGCAATGATACAACAAAAGAAAAACAGTGAATCCCCTTTTCTTCTCTTTCTTTTGAGACAGGGTCTCACTCTGTCACCCAGGCTGGAATGTAGTAGTGCAATCACTTCTCACTGCAGCTTTGACCTCTCTGACTCAAGCCATCCTTCAGCGTCAGCCACCTAAGTAGCTAGGACCACAGGCGTGCGCCACCACACCTGGTTAATTTTCATACTTTTTGTAGAGATGGGTTTCACCATGTTGCCCGGGCTGGTCTTGAATTCCTGAGCTCAAGCCATCCTCCCTCCTCTGCCTCCCAAAGTGGTGGGATTACAGGCATGAACCACCAAGCCTGAACTGCATCACCATTATCTTCTGTTCACTGCTTTTTCTCTTATGTGAATCTGCTATTTGCTACTCTTTGTCTCTTTTATTACCACTTTTATAGTAAGTGAAAAGTAATTAGCATCTGTTTTAAGAAAATGAAAGCAGGCCAGGCACCGTGGCTCACGCCTGTAATCCCAGCACTTTGGGAGGCCGAGGCAGGCAGATCACGAGGTCGTGAGTTCAAGACCAGCCTGGCTGACATGGCGAAACCCCGTCTCTACTAAAAATACAAAAATTAGCCAGGTGTGGTGGCACATGCCTGTAATGTAATGCCAGCTACTCAGGAGGCTGAGGCAGGAGAATCACTTGAACCTGGAAGGCAGAGGTCGCAGTGAGCCGATTGTGCCATTGCATTCCAGCCTGGGCAACAAGAGCAAGATGCAAGACTCCATCTCAAAAAAAAAAAAAAGAGCAAAATTTCTTTTTTTTTTTTGAGATGGAATCTCACTCTGTCACCCAGGCTGGATTGCGGTGGTGCAATCTAGTGTCACTGCAAGCTCCGCCTCCCAGGTTCAAACAATTCTCCTGCCTCAGCCTCCCAAGTACTTGGGACTACAGGCGCCCACCACCATGCCCGGCTAATATTTTTGTAGTTTTAGTAGAGACGGGGTTTCATCATGTTAGCCAGGATGGCCTCGATCTCCTGACCTCGTGATCTGCCCACTTCAGCCTCCCAAAGTGCTAGGATTACAGGCGTGAGCCACCGTGCCCGGCCTTTTTTGTGTTCCAGTGCGTTTTTCTATTCTTTATTTTTATTGCTTCTCTTTTTGCTTTTTTTTAAATTTATTTTTTATTTCAATAGGCTTTTGGGGAACAGGTGGTATTTGGTTACATGAATAAGTTATTTGGTGGTGATTTCTGAGATTTTGGTGCACCCGTCACCCAAGCAGTATACACTGTACCCAATGTGTAGTCTTTTATCCCTCATAACTCCACCCTTTCCCCCAAGTCCCTAAAGTCCATTATATCATTCTTATGCCTTTGCGTCCTCATACCTTAGCTCCCAAGAATTTCCCTTTTTTAAAAATTCAGAATTTAAGTCATTTAAGAATACTTGTTTTTGCGAGGAATTTTTTTGTTCTGTGGTACGTGGGTCGTTTTGTTTTTAATATATGCGTTTCTTCAACGACTTTACAGAGTAAAATTCTATACAACAAAAAATGTTTCTTAGGCCCTTCATTTCCCTTACTTTATTTTTTCTTCTGAGGCAGGATCTTGCTCTGTCGCCCAGGATGGAGTGCAGTGGTGTAAACACGGGCTCACTGCAGCCTCAACCTCCTGGGCTCAAGCAATGCTCCTACCTCACCCTCCAGAGTAACTGGAACTATAGGTATATACTATCCCGCCTGGCGAATTTTTTTTATTTATTTATTTTTATTTTTATTTTTTTTGAGACAGAGTCTCGCTCTGTTGCCAGACTGGTCTTGCAATAAGCAAAACGCCATCTATGAAAAATAATGGGCTGGGCGCGGTAGCCTGTAATCCCAGCACTTTGGGAGGCTGAGGCGGGCAGATCACCTGAGGTCTGGAGTTCCAGACCAGCCTGACCAACATGGAGAAACCCCATCTCTACTAAAAATACAAAATTAGCCAGGCATGGTGGCTCATGCCTGTAATCCCAGCTACTCGGGAGGCTGAGGCAGGAGAGGTGGAGGTTGCGGTGAGCCGAGATCATGCCATTTCTCCCCAGCCTGGGCAGCAAGAATGAACCTCCATCTCAAAAAAATAAAAAATAAAAAATAATGATAATAATCACACATATATAGAGTATGTTTTTCATTCGCTTTAATCCAGATACCTCCTAGAATTCAGTGGCTTAAAAGAAGTGTCGTACATCTTTTTTTTTTTTTTTTTTTTTTTAGTCGGAATCTCAATCTGTTGCCAGGCTGGAATGCAGTGGCGCGATCTCAGCGCACTGCAACCTCTGCCTCCCAGGTTCAAGTGATTCTCCCGCCTCAGCCTCCCAAGTAGCTGAGACTACAGACATGCGCCACCACACCTAGCTAATTTTTGTATTTTTAGTAGAGACGAGGTTTCACCGTGTTGCCAGGATGGTCTCAATCTTTTGACCTCGTGATCCACCTGCCTCGGCTTCCCAAAGTGCTGGGATTACAGCCTTGAGCCACTGTGCCCAGCATTTTAAAAATTTTTAATAGAAATGAGGTCTCGCTATGTTGCCCAGGCCTGTCTTGAACTCCTGGGCTCAAGTGATCCACCTTGGAGTCCCAAAGTACTAGGATTATAGGTGTGAACCACTATGTCCAGCCTTTCTCACCTATTAATCTAGATGTAATATAATTGATAAATACAATTTTAAGGCTGGAGCCTCCAATTTTAAGACACAAATTTCAGTTGAAGAGGCAATATAAAATTTCTTACATATTGATAAGGTGGTCTCATGTAACAGGTCTTAAATGTATTTAAATATTCATTATATGATTTTCTATGATTTATCCTTACATTTCACAAAATAATATAAACTCGTGTAACTATCTTATACCTTGGTATTCTCGAGAAATATATTTTGCATCTATTATTTAGAAATTAAGTAGGCTGGGCGCCATGACTCGTGCCCATAATCCCAGCACTTTGGGAGGCCGAGGCAGGTGGATCATGAGGTCAAGAGATCGAGACCATCCTGGCAACATGGTGAAACCCTGTCTCTACTAAAAATACAAAAATTAGCTGCGCGTGATGGTGTGCGCCTGTAGTCCTAGCTACTTGGAAGTCTGAGACAGGAGAATCGCTTGAACTTGGGATGTGGTGGTTACAGTGAGCCGAGATTGTGCCACTGCACTCCAGCCTGGTGACAGAACGAGACTCCGTCTCTAAAAAAGAAAAAAAAAGAGAGAAATAATAAAGTGCCAGTCGCAGTGGCTCACACACCTATAATCCCAGCACTTTGAGAGATCGAAGCAAGAGGATCACTTGAGCTTAGGAGTTCAAGACCAGCCTGGGCAACATAGGGAGACTGTACAAAAAACTGTTAAAAGTAGCTGGGCCTGGTGGCATGTGCTTATAGTCACAGCTACTCAGGAAGCTGAGGTAGAAGAATAGTTTAAGTCCAAGAGGTTGAGGCTGCAGTGAGCCTTGATTGCAGCGTTGCACTCCAGCCTCGGTGACAGAGCGAGACCCTGTCTCAAAAAAGAAAATATAGTAAGAAACAGTGATAGACTAAATATATGTTAAATAATTTGAGAACATAAAAATAAGTGACATTTAAATATAATGTAAGAGCACTTTCTATTTTCAGTTGATTTTTAACTTTATTACATACTTGTGTTCTTTTAGTGTCAACATGTAAAATGCCAGTGGAGTTATATTGTGATTAACCTCAAATTTTCTTTTTAGGTTTGATCCAGATCGGTTTGATGATGAATTGATAATGAAAACTTTTTCCTCACTTGGATTCTCAGGCACACGGGAGTGTCCAGAGTTGAGGTGAATAATAGAATGCCAGACTCTCTTCTTAGAATTTTGATGATCACTGTTGATGAGAATGGGCAATCTGTATGATTAAAGTGTAATTTTATCATTATTATTGTACTTTAAGTTCTGGGGTTCATGTGCAGAGCATGCAGGTTTAAAGTATACTTTTTAATCTTTAGTAACTAGTTGACTTTCTTCCTGACTAGGTTTGCATATATGGTGACCACAGTACTTCTTAGTGTATTGGTGAAGAGACTGCACCTACTTTCTGTGGAGGGACAAGTTATTGAAACAAAGTATGAACTGGTAACATCGTCAAGGGAAGAAGCTTGGATCACTGTCTCAAAGAGATATTAAAATTTTATGCATTTAAAATCATTGTTAAATTGATTGAGGAAAACAACCATTTAAAAAATCTGAGTTGAATCCTTTTATAAACCAGTAACACTTTGTAATATAAACACCTATTTGTACTTAATTTTGTAAATTTGGATTTTTATATATCATATTTTCTTCATTATACACATTTGACTTACTGCACAGTATATTGATCATTTTAATGGGAAACTTTAGATTTCTACTTTTTATTTTTGTTTTTTCACTTTCTTTGCCATTATTTTTATATTCTTACTGTGGGCTCTAAAATCAGTGTTCTTGAAGAAAGAAATTATTTTGCAGAAGCTGGGGAATCACGTTTGTTGAATATGCATAAAATAGAAACATAGGCTGGGTGCAGTGGCTCACACCTGTAATCCCTGCACTTTGGGAGGCCAAGGCAGGTGGATCACCTGAGGTCCGGAGTTTGAGACCAGCCTGGCCAACATGATGAAACCCCGTCTCTACTAAAAATACAAAAAATTGGCTAAGAGTGGTGGCCCATGCCTGTAATCCCAGCACTTTGGGAGGCTGAGGCGGGTGGATCACCTGAGGTCAGGAGTTCGAGATCAACCTGGCCAACATGATGAAACCCATCTCTACTAAAAATACAAAAAATTGGCCGGCCGTGGTGGCTCACACCTGTAATCCCAGCACTCTGGGAGGCCAAGGTGGGTGGATCACCTGAGGTCCAGAATTCAAGACCAGCCTGGCCAATATGATGAAACCCTGTCTCTACCAAAAATACAAAAAATTGGCCGGGCGCAGTGGCTCACACCTATAATCCCAGTACTTTGGGAGGCTGAGGCAGGCGGATCACTTGAGGTCAAGAGTTCGAGATCAGCCTGGCCAACATGGTGAAACCCCAGCTCTACTAAAAACACACACACACAAAAATTAGCTGGGCATGGTGGTGTGCACCTGTAATCCCAATTACTCAGAAGGCTGAGGCAGGAGAATCGCTTGAACCTGGGAGGCGGAGCTTGCAGTGAGCCGAGATTGCACCCCTGCACTCCAGCCTGGGCCACAGAGCGAGACTCTGTCTCAAGAAAAAAAAAAAAAAAAAGATAAATGGACAAAAGACATGAACAAACAGCTTTTATAGGATAGCATGGCTAACCAACTTTTAGAAAAGTGTTTAGTCTCACTAGGAAGTAACCAAATATTCGGGCAGAGCACAGTGGCTCATGCCTATAATCCCAGAACTTTGGAAGGCCAAAGCTGATGGATTGCTTGAGCCCAGGAATTCGAGACCAGCCTGGGCAACATGGGGAGACCCTGTCTCTATAAATATAAAAAAAAATTACTGGGCATGGTGGCACACACCTGTAGTCCCAGCTATTCTGGAGGCTGAGGTGGGAGGATCACTTGAGACCAGGAGAGGTTAAGGCTGCAGTGATCTGTGGTCACACCACTGTCCAGCCTGGACAACAGTGCAAAACCCTGTCTAACAAAAAAGGCCGGGCTCGTTGGCTCATGCCTGTAATACCAGCACTTTGGGAGGCCGAGGCAGATGGATCAGTTGAGGTCAGGAGTTCGAGACTAGCTGGGCCAGCGTGGTGAAACCCCATCTCTACCAAAAATACAAAAAAAAAAAATTAGCCGGGTGTGGTGGTGCACATTTGTAATCCCAGCTATTCAGGAGGCTGAGGCAGGATAATCACTTGGAACCCAGGAGGTGGAGGTTGCAGTGAGCCGAGATCGTGCCACTGCACTCCAGCCTGGGTGTCAGGAGTAAAACTCATTCTAAAAAAAAAAAAAAGTTGGGGGAGCTATTTCAAGAATATATTGGCCGGGCGCGGTGGCTCAAGCCTGTAATCCCAGCACTTTGGGAGGCCGAGACGGGCGGATCATGAGGTCAGGAGATCGAGACCATCCTGGCTAACACGGTGAAACCCCGTCTCTACTAAAAATACAAGAAAATTAGCCGGGCGAGGTGGCGGGCGCCTGTAGTCCCAGCTACTCGGGAGGCTGAGGCAGGAGAATGGCGTGAACCCGGGGGAGCGGAGCTTGCAGTGAGCCGAGATCGCGCCACTGCACTCCAGCCTGGGGCACAGAGCAAGACTCCGTGTCAAAAAAAAAAAAAAAGAATATATTAAGTAGGCCGGGCACAGTGGCTCATGCCTGTTATCCTAACACTTTGGGAAGCCAAGGTGGGTGGACCACGAGGTCAAGAGATTGAGACCATCCTGGTCAACATGGTGAAACCCCATCTCTACTAAAACTACAAAAAATTAGCTGGGCATGGTGGTGTGCGCCTGTAGTACCAGCTACTTGAGAGGCTGAGGCAGGAGAATTGCTTGCACGTGGGAGGCAGAGATTACAGTGAGCTGAGATCATGCCAGTGCACTCCAGCCTGGGCGACTGGGCCAAGACTCTGTCTCAAAAAAATACATATATATATTTTAAGTATTTTTCAAAATTACACTTTAGCACTTATAAATTTTATATATAATACTTTATTGATGGCATTGTATATTAGTCCAGCTTTTTTGGCTACACTATTTATGAAGGATTCTTTTTTTTTTTAAGACAGCCACCATAGGAAATATGCCAAGTACAGATAGTGAGGAAAGAAAGGAAGAAAAACGATAATTATCTGCAAGTGGGCTTATTTTTAACACTGCTAAATTTCATTTGTAATTTTACTTTCAAGAATGTACTCTGGTAGACTGAGGTGGGTGCATTGCTTGAGCCCAGGAGTTGGAGGCTTCAGTGAGCTGTGATCACAACACTCCACTCAGCCAAACCTGAGTGATAAAGTGAGACCCTATCTCTTTAAAAAAAAAAAAAAAAAAAAAAACCCTTTGTTATTGAGTTATTTTATGTAATTTATTGGTAAATACCTAACATTTTAGACCTAGTCATTACCAGTTAACAGAATTTAATTGGATGCAGTCTTTATTCTTGAAAAACAAATTAATTTTTGGAATAACTTAAATTCTAAAACTTTGGCCGGTTGCGGTGGCTCATGCCTATAATCCCAGCACTTTGGGAGGCCGAGACGGGCAGATCACCTGAGGTCAGGCATTCAAGACCAGCCTGGCCAACATGGAGAAACCCCGTCTCTACTAAAATTACAAAATTAGGCGTGATGGCGCATGCCTGTAATCCCAGCTACTTGGGAGGCTGAGGCAGGAGAATTGCTTGAACTCGGGAGGTGGAGGCTGCGGTGAACCAAGATCGCGCCATTGCACTTCAGCCTGGGCAACAAGAGTGAAACTCCATCTCAAAAAAAAAAATTCTAAAACTTTAAGTGAAATTTATTATCCCTTCCCACTTATTTTCTGTGGTTTTGTGTGTATAGAGCATCTTCCTTTGTTACCCAAGTACCTTGAGTGGGTTGGAAACTGGCAGTAGAAGATTAGAGTAGCCAATTGATATGTAAACCGAGTGTCAGATCAGATGAGATGAAAGAGGTGGAGTTGGCCGGGCGCGGTGGCTCAAGCCTGTAATCCCAGCACTTTGGGAGGCCGAGACGGGCGGATCACGAGGTCAGGAGATCGAGACCATCCTGGCTAACACGGTGAAACCCCGTCTCTACTAAAAAATACAAAAAAACTAGCCGGGCGAGGTGGCGGGCGCCTGTAGTCCCAGCTACTCAGGAGGCTGAGACAGGAGAATGGCCCGAACCCGGGAGGCGGAGCTTGCAGTGAGCTGAGATCCGGCCACTGCACTCCAGCCTGGGCGACAGAGCGAGACTCCGTCTCAAAAAAAAAAAAAAAAAAAGAAAGAGGTGGAGTTTAAAGCAAGTGAGATATGATAAACAATGATGAAAGCAAAAATAGGGCAGTTGAACCAGAGTCAGCCAGTAGGCATAATTGTCAATAAATGAGGCAAGTGTAGAATAACTAATAATGATTGGAATCAAGGAAAAGAGCATGAAGGAATCAGCTCAATTAGTATGTTTTATCCATGGTTACATGACTAACAAAGGATTAAAAAGAAATTATTCACTAGATAATTTTTTAAATAAAAATACTGTTTATGTTAACTACGTTATTCATTTGCTGTCATTCACATGACAAAAATATGTGTTCTTTGTACTTATCAAATGACTCAAATTTTGGCCACTTCAGTGTCACTGATGGCTTATAGAATGATTCTAGCAGGACCCAAGTTATTGAACTATCAAATGAGTTTTTAATTGATATTGAAGTAAGTAATTTAAGTTTTGTAGCTTTTGGGATTTTTAAAAACTACTTCACTGATTTTTATTCTTTTTGATAGTTCAGAAGTGTATTGTTAAAAAACATAAGCATGGCCGGGCACAGTGGCTCACTCCTGTAATCCCAGCACTTTGGGAGGCCACAGCAGGCAGATCACCAGAAGTCGGGAGTTCGAGACTAGCCTGACCAACATGGAGAAACCCCATCTCTACCAAAAATACAAAATTAGCCAGGCATGGTGGAGCATGCCTGTAATCCTAGCTACTTGGGAGGCTGAGGCAGGAGAATCGCTTGAACCCGGGAGGCGGAGGTTGCAGTGAGCTGAGATCATGCCGTTGCACTCCAGCCTGGGCAACAAGAGCAAAACTCCATCTCAAAAAAAAAACACACACACACAAAAACAAACAAAAAAAAACAGCCAGTTGCAGTGGCTCACGCCTATAATCCCAACACTTTGGGAGGCCGAGGCGGGTGGATCACCTGAGGTCAGGAGTTCAAGACCAGCCTGACCAACATGGAGAAACCCCATCTCTACCAAAAATACAAAATTAGCCGGGCATGGTGGAGCATGCCTGTAATCCCAGCTACTTGGGAGGCTGAAGCAGGAGAATCGCTTGAACCCAGTAGGCGGAGGTTGCAGTGAGCCAAGATTGCGCCATTGCACTCCAGCCTGGGCAACAAGAGTGAAACTCTGTCCCCCAGAAAGAAAAAAAAATAAGCACATAACTTTTTTCTTTTTCTTTTCTTTTTCTTTTTCTCTTTTTTTTGAGGCAGAGTCTTGCTTTGTTGCCCAGGCTGGAGTGCAGTAGCGTGATCACAGCTTACTATAGCCTCCACCTCCTGGGATCCAGCGATCTTCTCACCTCAGCCTCTAGAGTAGCTGGGACTACATGTGCAAGCCACCATGCCCAGCTGTTTGTTTGTTTTTGTTTTTTTGAGACAGTGTCTCCCCGCGTCACCCAGGCTTGTCTCAAACTCCTAGGCTCAAGTGATCCTCCCACCTGGGCCTCCCAAAGTGTTGAGATAGCAGGTATGAGCCACTGCACCTGGTCCAAAAAACATCCTTTTTATGAACCAAAGAGCTCTTTCAAACTTGTGCTAACAAAATTTAAGGCAATATTAATTGTGTGCATGTGTTTGGGAAAAATCAAAAAACTTACATGATACTTATCTGTCTCACAAAAGTATAGTTCCATTTTTTTATATAAATAGATTCTATCGGCCGGGCGCGGTGGCTCAAGCCTGTAATCCCAGCACTTTGGGAGGCCGAGACGGGCGGATCACGAGGTCAGGAGATCGAGACCATCCTGGCTAACACGGTGAAACCCCGTCTCTACTAAAAATACAAGAAAATTAGCCGGGCGAGGTGGCGGCGCCTGTAGTCCCAGCTACTCGGGAGGCTGAGGCAGGAGAATGGCGTGAACCCGGGAGGCGGAGCTTGCAGTGAGCCGAGATCACGCCACTGCACTCCAGCCTGGGCGACAGAGCGAGACTCCGTCTCAAAAAAAAATAAAATAAAAATAAAATAAATAAATAAATAGATTCTATCTTATTTATAACCCCTATGTCAAAATTTGTTTCTTTTATCTTAAAATAGTTTGTATAAAAATCTTTACTGCTTTATTATGAAGTAATAATGTTTATTATAGAAAAATCTAGGAAAACACAAAAATGTCAAACTCAGTTAATAGTCTCACTATTTGAAGTTAACCACTGTTAAGATTCTGGTTTTTTTTGTTTGTTTTTTTGAGACTGAGTCTCGCTCTCTGTCGCCCATGCTGGAGTGCAGTGGCACCATCCTGGCTCACTGCAACCTCTGCTTCCCAGGTTCAAGTGATCCTTCTGCCTCGGCCTCCCAAGTAGCTGAGATTACAAGCATGTGCCACCACGCCTGGCTAATTTTTGTGTTTTTAGTACAGATGAGGTTTCACCATGTTGGCCAGGCTGACCTTGAACTCCTAACCTCAAGTAGTCTGCCCACCTCGGCCTCCCAAAGTGCTGGGATTACAGGCGTGGGGCACCATGCTCAGCCCCACTGTTAAGATTCTAATGTAGGCCAGGCACAGTGACTCATGCCCGTAAGTCCAGCACTTTGGGATGCCGAGGAGGCCAGATTTCTTGAGCTTTTAGAAGTTTGAGACCAGCCTGGGCAACGTGATGAAACTTTGTCTCTATAAAAATATTTAAAAACTTAGCCAGCCTTGGTGGCACCACCTGTAGTCCCAACTATTCAGGAGACTGAGGTGGGAAGATGGCTTGAGCTCAGGAGGTCAAGGCTACAGTGAGCCATGGTAGTGCCACTGCACTCCAGCCTGATTGACAGAGCAAGACCCTGTCTCAAAAAAAAAAAAAAAAAAAAAAAAAAAGATTCTAATATAGATACTCTTTTTATGCATATGTAGTTTATATATATTATACAAAAAATTTGCATTTAACATATTTGAACCAATAGTATTTTCTACAACCAGAACATTAGTATTCTTGTCCATTCTGAATGTAGGCACAGATTTTTGTCATTCTTTCTTTATCTTTTTTTTGTGTGTGTGACAGAGTCTCAGTCTGTCACCAGGCTGGAGTGCAGTGGCGTGATCTCGGCTCACTGCAACCTATGCCACCCTGGTTCAAGCGATTTTCTTGCCTCAGCCTCTGAGTAACTGGGGTTACAGGCGCGCGCCACCACACCTGGCTAATTTTTGTATTTTTAATAGAGACAGGATTTTACCATGTTGGTTAGGCTGGTCTCGAACTCTTGACCTCGTGGTCTGCCCAACTCAGCCTCCCAAAGTGCTGGGATTACAAGCACGCACCACCGCGCTCAACCCCTTTCTATGTTATGTTTTATTTATTTATTTATTTTGAGACAGAGTCTCGCTGTGTCACCCAGGCTGGAGTGTGGTGGCACGATCTTGGCTCACTGCAACCCCCGCCTCCCAGGTTCAAGCAATTCTCCTGCCTCAGCCTCCTGAGTAGCTGGGATTACAGGTATGTGCCACTATACTCAGCTAATTTTTTTATTTTTTAAGTAGAGACAGGGTTTCACCATGTTGGCCAGGCTGGTCTTGAACTCCTAACCTCAGGTGATTCACACTCCTTGACCTCCCAAAGTGCTGGGATTACAGGCGTAAGCCACTGTGCCCGGCCATTTTTTTGTATTTTTAGTGGAGACAGGTTTTCACTATGATGGCCAGTGGTATATTTAGTTATTTAAGGAGGGATCAAGCAATAGGTTTAAATGATGTACTATTCATAATTATTGAAAAAATAGGCCGGGCCTATAATTCCAGCACTTTGGGAGGCCAAGGCAGGTGAATCACTTGAGGCCAGGAGTTTGAGACCAACCTGGCCAACATGGTGAAACCCCATCTCTACTAAAAATACAAAAAGTAGCCAGGCATAGTGGCAGGTGCCTCTAATCCCAGCTACTCGGGAGGCTGAGGCAGGAGAATTGCTTGAACCCAAGAGTTGGAGGTTGCAGTGAGCCAGGATCGCGCCATTGCACTCCAGTGTGGGTGACAAGAGCGGAAGTCCATCTCAACAAAAAAAAGAAAAAAAGAAAAAATTTAGCTGGCCTTTGGGGCACATGCCTGTAATCCCAGCTTCTTGGGAGGCTGAGGCATGAGGAAAAATAAAAAAACCTGGGAGGTGGAGGTTGCAGTGAGTTGAGATTGTGCCACTGCACTCTAGCCTAGGCAATAAAACAAGATTGTCTCAAAAAAAAAAAAAAAAAAAGTATTGAGGGAATAATATACCACTAATATTAAAGGAAATTTTTGGCTGGTACCGTGGCTCACACCTATAATCTCAGCAGTTTGGGAGTCTGAGGTGGGCGTACAACTTGAGGTCAGGAGTTCAACAACAGCCTGGCCAACATGGGGAAACCCCATCTCTACTAAAAATACAAAAATTAGTCGGCGTGGAGGTGGGCGAATGTAATCCCAGCTAGTTGAGAGGTTGAGGCAGGAGAATGTCTGGGAGGTGGAGGTTGCAGTGTGCCGAGATCATGCCACTGTACTCCAGCCTAGGTGAAAGAGTGAGACTCCGGAGGTCTCAGCCAGACTCTGGAGGTCTCAGCCCAGGCTGGAGTGCAGTGGCATGATCTCGGCTCCCTGCAACCTGTCTCCCCGGTTCAAGCGATTCTCCTGCCTCAGCCTCCCAAGTAGCTGCGACTACAGGCGAGTGCCTCCATGCCTAGCTAATTTTTTGTATTTTTAATAGAGACGGGGTTTCACCATGTTAGCCAGGATGGTCTTGATCTCCTGACCTTGTGATCTGCCCACCGCAGCCTCCCAAAGTGCTGGGATTACAGGTGTGAGCTACAGCACCCGGTCAAAAAAAGGAATTTTTAAAAGAAAAAAGAATGCTACCAACCTAACCACATTTCTACAACTGTTTATATTTTCCCCTGTTCCAGACACATACATTTTTGCATAGTACGTTCATTGCAGCATGATCTACTTTTCACTTAATAAATTTTAAACATTTTCCAGCCGGGCGTGGTGGCTTATGCCTGTGAGAGGCCAAGTCAGGCTTATTGGGTGAGTCCAGGTGTTTGAGTCTAGCCTAGGCAACATAACGAAACTCCATCTCTACGAAAAATACAAAAATTAGCCAGGTGTGCTGGTGCACACCTGTAGTCCCAACTAAGGAGGCTGAGGTGAGAGGATCGCTTGAGTCCAGGAGGTAGAGGTTGCAGTGAGCCATGATCATGCCACTGCACTCCAGCCTAGGTGACAAAGCACAACCCTCAAATAAATAAATAAAAGTTAAACATATTCCTTTATTCATTTTTGTAAGGGTTTCAGGGAATAGGCTTTTTTAAACGGAG